GATGTAGCTAGTTTAGTGGTAAAAGAATTATTTTTGTATCAATATAACCCAGGTTCGAAACTTATTACCTCACATCTACATCACTTCCTGGTGGAATCATTTGTCATAACCACGATTTTGTTTTATATCTAATTGCAGTTTGAAGCAATTTCCTCTTTGTGGAAATCACACATGTAAACTATATAACTTTGAGTTGCAACCAGTACGAACATACTGTATATCACATTTTCTAATCGACACAGATGTTTCTATTGTTTACGTAAATTGAGGTTTATTTATGTAAAATACACTCCAACGATATTTACGTACATAAACACTAAGAGGAATGTCTTTGTTCATTATAAATGACTATTAGAATTCACTGCGTTATCTTCCTTTGCTACGCAGCGAGATAATGCTGAATCCTGAATAGATTTTAAAAACAGGCAAGAAGGAGGGATTTTAATTGAGAGCTGAAGTCAAATAGTTCTCGTCTATATCGCAAAACTTAACTTTCACATTTGAACGTTTTGATCGTTCTATGTGAAATTTTTAAAATTGTCGTGATCATCAACACTTGCATGGATCTATAGGGAAGAATCTTAGGAAGTCTTCTCATATCATGTTCAAGTGTTTTCAAAAGAAACCACCACTTTTTCTCAACAAAATTGGAATGTTTATGATTGATGAAATGCATCTTTGTCTTTGTGTTTATGATGTATTGCTTCAAAAAATATTGACCACAACAATATTGAAGCCAAAAATATTCAAAATTTTGAATGTAAAAAACAAACAGTCAAAAGAAAAATCCATGCAATCGAACATAATTCTCGCATCATGTGGTGGTGATCGTGATCAAGACCAAAGAAAGTATAATTAAATTTAAAAGTTTATTAAAACATTAAAGCGATCGTGATCAAGACGATTCCGACCAAGCCTGTTCTTGCGACTTTGCTTGCAGCATCCTTCTCAGATTTGGTTGGTACTAGAAAGAAATAAACAAATATACTTTTAGTAAAAACTTAAGAAAAAACATTGCATGGAACCTTTCGATTTTAGTAAAAACAAAATTGCTTAACATTTTCCTCATAATTTGTTGCTATTATTACACTGAACAACAGCAATCATAATAATTATTGGTTACGATAAATTTCATTTAATTGGTAATATAAATATAATAATTGTTCATACCTGGACTTGGTGCCTTTGTCTGCGGCAAAGGAGCTTGAGCTAGCAACAAAGAAAAAATAAAATAAAAAATGAAATTTTACAACATATAATTGATACTGCGTACATATTATATGCAAAGTTGAGTTTCTTTACTAAACTAAAATTAATTGGCAACAAAAAGAAACGTTGTGGCAAAAAATTTCAATAACATAATTATGAGGTTTGTTTTAAAATGGGTTAAACTCATATTTAAAATGTAATATACAAATGCGAAAACAAACCAACTTATTTACGATTTTACCATAATTTTGGTAAATAAAGAAATAGTATAGTAGTATTTAGTTAATATCATATATAGACCGTAACCAAAACGTTACCGGTAGTTTCGGAACACAAGTTAGGATCGGCGGTGTGTCCACAACTTTGGGAGAGAAGAGCGTTGAAGACAGTGACATTGAAAGGGACCAACAACATAGGGCTTTTGATAAGTCCGCAAAGACAAGGTAGCTGCGTTTTCATAGCAGTCTCCAAGGCGGTGCAGCAATCAGGCGACAAAGGTCCTCCCTGAGTCATGGCCGGAACACAAATAGCCAAACCCGCGGCACAGTTCATTACCTCGTTGACTGCAGGACTAGGAGCCAGTGGAATCTGTGGTCCCTGTCCTGAAACAGTCGTAGCTGCCATCAGCAGCGTGGCTAAGAGGAAGATCATGGTGATGGTTCGAGCCATTCTTATAATCGTTAGGGATTTGTTTTCATTCGTTTGTGGTGCTTTCTTAACTAGTAATTTATATACACAAAACACAACCATGAAAACTAGTTTTAAGTCACAATATATATATTGTAGTAGAATTGACTTATTCGGTTCATAATATGATACAGAATATATATGTACATTAAGTGAGATATTTATTTATGGACGGACATTTTATTAAGAGCTAAGTGACTTATTTGTTTTAGATTTTTTTTTAGTTTGAAAAGAAAAAAAATGTTAATATTATAAATTAATCCAATATATAAATTTGGCTCGAATTTAGGTTTTAAATATATACAACATTAGTCTCCAAAGGTTTGATTTTTTCATACAAAAGTAAAAATACAGTTCGTTATTAAAAATTTCAAAATACAAGCTGTTCGATTTATTTTAATCCAACCTCTTAATTACACTAGTATTTTATATCATCAAAAGAAAAAAAAATGTCGTTTAAACTCGGTCTATCCTTGACAGCCGATATATTTCATTGGTTTTCAAAGTTTTAGTTGCAAGTTGATCAAATGGAAATATATTTACACACATAACTTTAGCCGGCAAAGAATTATTCTTCGTTAACATGAGTTTCCCTGAATAATATAAGATATCGAGAAAATATCATTATGCACGTTCAGAAATCGAATCATTTCACTTGGTAAGCTTGCTTGTACAAAGTCCCATACTTCTCATAAAGAAATAGAGAAAAAAAGAGAGTAAAGAGCTTTAGGAAAAAAAAAACACTTATAGAAGTTGCAGAAATGAGATGATAACATACTATAGTTCCAAATGAAATCACAGCAAGAAAAGAGCATGAGCATGACCAAAAATTACCATGTCTAGAAGATGCATGACTATATAGATTCACAAACACATGCTTTGACTTATTCCCAATATTATAACACTAACCAATCATACCATTCCAAAACACAACCCAAGCAATATATAGTGAGCCTATTATCTAAAACACAGATAAGAAATTATTAAAACTATTATCCTTTCTAGTATGGTAAACTTGATTCCAGCAATGGTGAAAGCATGAGGATTGTAGAACTATATAACCAGTCAAATAGAGATATAAAACTAGATCATGCAAGATGAAAATTTTGATGAGATTCAAATAAAATATATGTACCTGCACAAGATTGAAAGCCATAATCGATGTCAAACCAGAGGAGTAACACAACCATGGATAAAAATCACAATGAGGATGCACCATGGATTCAAAAAAGCTAAATCGTTGCCAAAAGTGTCTACAAAAGCTAGCTAGTTCTGGCAGACACTTTAGGCAACGAATCACTAGGATTGTTATACGAAATGTCGTTGCACATTAAAAAGCAATAACCAATATATAAGTTGGTAAATATTCTCCAAATGTATTATCTTTTTGACTAATGGAACAATAGTAAGCAGAACTTAGTTAGAGACATACTCTAGAGTGAGTCCCTCGCTCTTGGAGAGAAAAGGTAGGTAATTCCTAAAAGACTCTTATTCTTTAACTACATGAAAACTCAACTGAACAAGAACGAAACAAGACTGTATATCGAATTGAAATTTTAAAAACATGTAACAAAAGAATCAGTGTGAATTGGCCAGAGGTTGCATTTTTTTTTTGTCTACTAGGTCGGACTAAATCGGCCTATCAAGTTTTGACACATTTTAACACTCCTCAGTATGACGAAAGTATACGAGGATTAGATATAATCACTCCTAAAATTCAACATAAATCTTATAACCTCATCCTAATTTAATAATTTGAAACAATTTTCATATGCTATATTTCTGTTAGTTGACTACTATAGTGCATTTTAGAGTCACATAATATTGAATGGAATTTTAGGGAACTTTGTAAAAACAAAATTAGAGTTATTACGTGTAGAAACCGCGTTTTTTTTACCAAAAATAAAAGAAACCGCATCCTAGGACTACACCTAATTAGTTTTTCTTTCCTCTATTATATATGTTATTAATTAAAAAAAATCATGTAGATTTTCTATTATTTTTTACAATACCTCCATTTTATTTTAAGTAGTATCATTATTGATCACTTTTTTTATAATGCATTTTCGGTTTTGTGTTTTATTTAATTTCATAATAAGACTAAATGCATTTTTGTATGCCAAAAATAAAATGCATCCGAGAGGGTAAAAGGGAAGCAATGCAATTAAAATAATAAACTTTTATATATAAATTAAAAAAGTAGGTGTTATATTAATAAAATTAAAATAGCTAGATTGTATAAATATATATTAATATAAATAAAAATGTAAAAAAGGGGAACTTTGAAAAAATTTAAGATTTAGGAAAAAACAAAATAAGATGGGTACATAATGATATATTAATTGGGCCCACTAACAAAAGATATATCAGCACCCTTGCTGCTCTCTCCTTTAGAGGTCCCTTTCAAGTCTTCTTCACCAATGTTAGATGGTTCCATGTTTAGGTCCCTCTCAAGCTCACGAGAAACCCCCCAATCATCAAAATAAGAAACAGTTGCAGTTTTCATCACGTCATAACCATTCCCGGCCCACACAGCAGATGGAACATTAGAAGCCCTTAGAGTCGCATCTCTAGGAGATGCCTCTTCGATACACATAGGATCAAGATCCATGATCTCATTCCTGAACGACATAATTTTTCTAGCAGTATATGATAGTAATTTATCAGTCTCGGTTTGGGAAAGATCAGCAAGTTGATGACCATTGTTGAGTTCGCACATGAGATGATCCATCTCCAACTCTTCGATAGCCTTCCGAGTATTGGCTATTTTCTTCTCAATCTTTTCGATATTGGTTTGCATGAATGACTCCGGATCAATGGCCTTCTTGTTCCTTTGATGCTCCGTCAAAGAGTAGTACTTATCCATGAGCAAATTTGCCTCTTGGGTAGATGGCCATACCACATCCTGATCTACTTCACGATCAAGCACCACGAGACAAGCTCTCACGTCGCAAAGAATTGAGAGCTCATTCGTTTTCTTGATGAGTCCGGCAAGCCTTGTCTTAATATTGGCTCTCCTCACTCTCTGGTTGGCCCAATCCAAGGTCACTCTTCTCCTCCCCATTTTTTTTCTTTTTTCTTTTTCTTTTCTTTTTCTTTTGTATGTGTTTGTAAAAAGAGAATCTTGGTGATCGTATATATAGGAAAAACCAAGGAAAAGATATAAGGAATGTATAACTTCAAACTATCTCCATAGTTCTATATTTTGGTTAGTTTGACTACTAATAATGTTGAATGGAATTTTAGGAAACTTTGTAAATAAAAAGGGTTATTAAGTGTAGAAACCGCGTCCTTTTTTACCAAAAGTAAAAGAAAGCGCGTCATGATAATACATCTAAATATTCTTTGTTTCCTCCCTATATATGTTAGTATTTATTAATTAACATTTTCATATATATTTCCTATGGGAAAAACCCCAAAAATACATGGTTTATTATTTTTTGGACGTTTAAACCTGAATTTTTTTTTGGAAGAAAAATATATGAATTTTCTGTTTGTGTGTTTTTTAAGCTCTTAATAACAAGAAATATAATTTGTATGGCAAAAAAAAAATATCCGAGAGGGTAAAAGGGAAGAAATGCAGCTAAAATACTATATCAGTTAATTGACCTAGAAGGTAAAAGGGAAAACATTCAGCTAAATAACCTCACATGCTTATATCCCGTCCCCTTCAATATTGATGGTTAAGAACTAATAAGAGTAAAAGCAACTGCAAAACGCATCAGTTTATCCAAAAACATGACAAAATAATTGAAAGATAACTAAACCATCACCACCTCATCGGATAACACATAGGCATGACCAAAACCAAACCTTAACCGTATTTTTAACCGTAAACAGACCGTAACTGTATAATACGGTTAAAACTTTAACTGTTAACCGTATAAATAAATCACTTACGATTGGTAACTGTAACCGTTATTAACCGTAGCCGTATCAAAATCGTTGGTTGACCGTACGGTTAACTGCATGATTAACTGTACGGTTAAAATTTTAAAATAAATCATTTCATTGAAATAATAATTTAAATGGCTTAATTTATCAACTAGTAAATCTAATCCACTCTATTACTCATTTTCGTTAATCAAATAAAAAATAGATAATTAAAATTAAGTATTTGTAGTTTTATGACTATTAATTTAATAATCTGTAAGTTTGTTTAATTAAATAAAATTCATTGATTTAACTAATTTACTATAATATATTTGAACTATATAATTAAATAAATAATTATTATTTGAATACCATTATCAAATAACCGTAACCGTATTTAACCGTAGCCGTAACTAAGCGTAACTGTAAATAAACATAACCACATTAACATGTATACATAATGATTAAGATTATGGTTAAAAATATTATAACCGTTAATCGGTGGTTAATAAACCGTAACCGTAGTCATGCCTAATAACATAATCGAGGTAGCCTAAAGATTACTAACCAGTATTTAAAAGGTATGTGGATCATATAACTCTCTTCCGCAACATATTTATAACATACATTATCTGATTTCATGAAAAAACTAATTTTGGAACATCCTTAATATACAGGTTCCACATATTTTATATATTGATATATATTAAAAAACACATTAGCTTTCACCAAAAGAGTTTTTACTTTTTTTTTATCAATCTATAAAATATTTATAATTTTGAAAAAGAAGATATTAGATAACTACCAAGTCAAACTCATGTAACGAAACTATATATGTGTATTTTTTCTAACACTAAAACACTAACAAGCACACTGCACACACAAACGTCAATACAATCCATAACAATACCAAATCTAGTAATAACTTACATGAAATTTACAATCACATAAAATTAAGCACTAACAAATACAGTAAAACCTCTATAAATTAATACTCGATAAATTAATAATCTCTATAAATTAATAAATTTCTCCGGTCCCAAGTTGGGACCAGTGTAATTTTAGACATATTTCGATAAAATAATAAGATAATAATTTTTTTGAAAATCCTTTGTAGATATATGGTCCCATCAATATTATAAATTAATAAATAGGTAAAATTTTCAAAATATATGTATATATATATAGACACATTAGTTTTTGTTAGATTTTATTTATAATATTTTACTATATGAAAAATAGTTAGCACTATCTTTAATACATAATAATAACTATTTTATTTTAATTGATTATATAAAATACTAATTATCATGATTAAATCTTATTTTTAAATACTGTCTTGAAAATATTTCCCAAATTAGGAGTATCTCTCTATAAATTAATAATTATTAATTTATCGATAAATTAATACCTCTATAAATTAATAGATTTTCATGGTCCCAACATTATTAACTTATAGAGGTTTTAATGTAACAAGCACAAACAAAACGCGTGGATACACGCATGTTTAAAAAGTATATGTTAAATAATAAATAGTATTCTAAATATTGATTTTGTATATTATTTGATTGTCTATATTAATATTTTTCAGTACATTTTAGAGAGAAACATTTTTTTTGTAAATATTTACATAGAAGGGGGAATTTCAAAAATACCCCTTTTAATATACCTCTTTTAAAAATTACCCCTTTTTCAAACTTTATCAAAAAAACCATTAAAAATATTGAAATTTATCCAAATATGTATGTAAGCTTATAAATATATACACAAATTAACTTTATATGTGTATAAAACTTTATATAACTTTCATATATAGCGGAAAATAAATTATAAAAACCATATAAAAACCTTATAAAAACTGTATAAACCCTTTTAAAAACCTTTTTAAAACCTTATAAAACTTATAAAAATGATTTAAAACTATTTAAAACATATTAAAATATTTGTATCGAATCTCCCAGTAGTAGTTATTATATAGAAGTACCTTATAAACTATATAAAACTTTGTAATTTTTTATATTTCAATAGGGGTATTTTTGAAAATGGATAGATAAAGGGGGTATTTTTAAAAAGGGGTACACCAAAAAGGGTATTTCTCAAAATTTCTCTACATAGAATGCCATTACTAATTCATTTATCCAAACAATTTTACAATTAATTCTTTCTACTATCTATATAACCGACCATAACTAAAATATTTTAGCATTAATTAGAAAATAAAAATATCCATATACTTTTCGATAATTAATATATATTTGTTAAGATTTTAAGTTATGATTCTCCTATCATTTTTGTTCTTTTTTTTTTTGTTATCAAATAAACTAAAACTGACTCAAATGAGCCAATTCGGCAGACAATTGTTTACATACTTGATAATATGCGGACTGGAACGAGCTTTGCGTGCCAAGGAATCCGCTTTTACATTCAAATTTCTAGGAATAAGAGATAAAAAATGTTGAGAATTCTTCCCTATCAATGTTGATATAATCCAGGTAGACAGAAAAAGCCGGCCACTCGGTAGGAGAAGACACCATATTCACCAGATCTGAATAAGAAAAACTACAGAAGTTATGGCCAACCATTCATCTCTCGTTTTTTGTTTAATTTGTTTAAAACATTATAGTATCATACAATACATAAAATTCATAAAAATCTATAACCATTAAAATTGAAAGATATTAACTTTGAAAATCAACCTTTATATATTACGATACCCACCACGTCAGCAGTAACGTACGTAAGTGTGGCCAATGACTCGTTTTGTTTTGTCGCACGTACGACTCGCAAAATAATTAGGGTTTTTGTAGTGATATAAAATATTACGAATGGACTTGGCCATACTTCTCAGGCAACTTTTTTTTTTGGTAGCAAAGTTTCCTTTATGGCGGCTCGTTGGAGGAATCTTTATTTTCTTCGTTTCTCTCTTCATCGTCGTCTATCACTATCATTAGCTTTTAAAGTCAAAATAACGTTTGGGAAAAAACTTAACAGGTCATTCACTAAGGCAAAACGTTATTTAATATGTATTAAATGATATTCCTTCTCCTTCGTTTTAGAGGTAAAATTGTTGTTTTATATCACTTGTTGTTTTGTATTTATTAAGTAGATTTCTGATTTTTAATACTTAAAAAAGGCTCGTTTCTGCTATGCTTCTCGGCTTGCAACTCCTGGGGGGGGGGGGGGGGGGGGTCTTGGCTCCAACTCGGATTGTTCTAATGTCTATGACAGTGAATACTTAATTAAGGACCCCCAAGTTCTCTATGCCAAACGCTGCGTTTATTGCCTTTTTGGTGTTATGCGAGTTATTTTCGAGAAGGAGCGAAAGCTTAGAATTCCTCTATTTCGAACGTTTTGTTCTTCTTCAACCCATTTACTCGTCAGATCATAAACTTACCAAAATGTGCGTTATCATTTAATGCAATCACGCTTTCTCTTACGCACCAACATCAGGTACGTGCCCGTTGTTCTTGTTTAAGCATTTTCCGTATGGTACAATAACTACGAGCACTTGCCATCCTGAAGCATCCTAATGGGTTACCGAGGACTTACAATTCTATCTTCATTTTAGCCGCGATACATTTATTCACATCAATGTTGTCTATGCCAAACGTCGCTTCTATTGACTTAAGATGGTATTAAGTTCTTATATATTTCTTTGAACCTTCTCTTCGAGTATGGGCGTTATAGTCATACGAGTTCTATGCGCTGTGCGTACTTAGATGGAGATAGCTACACCCCGGCTCAAAATAAAACTGGTCTCTTGGGCAAGAAATAAAATTTTTGGACATTTGTCAAGTAAAAAAAAATTTGAGATTTTGTTTTGATTTTATGCTAAATTTTGGGCCATCTTTAGTAAAAGTAGAATCCGTTATAACACTTTAAAAATTTTATGGGCTTTTTTAAAATAAAATAAATAGAATTAGAAAATTTTGGGCATTTTTACTAAGAATTTGGACCCATTTACATATATTTTTTAAAAATTAAAAAAAAATTGGGCCTTTTTACTAACATTATGCTGTAATTGAAGTATCTTGTGATGATTACACAGTAACTCACTAGCACAAACCAATAGATATTTGTCAACGTCAAATAATTGATGGAGTATATAATATAATACAAAAAGAAAAAGTATTTATAAATAATTATGAAAAATAAAAGACCATATATGAAAAATTAGTGTTTCTACCAATATTGTGTGAAATAAAACACAGAGATAAGAGATTTTGTTTCCAAGTTTATTTATTTCATAATTACATTTTTATTTCACTTTTTGTGTTTCTTTTTTTAATGAGTGTTTATATAATACACATTTTGCTTTTATTACACACTTTTTTTTTGCTGCTTTCTCTCTTTGTAACTGATTTTTATTAATTAAGAAAGATATCTAAAAAATCCATGTGGAAAATATTTACTGGCTAAGTAGCTTGTGATTTGGAAGATTAAGGATAAACAAGATAAGATTATAAATCTTTACCAAAAAGAAAAACAAGATTATAAATTGATGAAGACCTCTAGTCACTTCTTAAAACATCCCCAAATCCAAAACGACAACAAACCCTAAATAAGCTCTTGAGGATGCTGCGAGTGTCGCTGTCCCGTCAAAGTCCACCGCCGTCTCCGAAAATGGCGTCACCTTCTTCGCCGTCTCCGAAAATGGCGTCACCTTCTTCGCCGTCTCCGAAAATGGCGTCACCTTCTTCGCCGTCTCCGAAAATGGCGTCACCTTCTTGATGACCACTGTTGAGTTCGTACATGAGATGATCTATCTCCAACTCCTCGATAGCCTTTCGAGTATTGGCTATTTTCTTCTCAATCTTTTCGATACTGATTTGGATGTATGACTCCGGGTCAATGGCCTTCTTGTTCCTTTGATGCTCCGTCAAAGAGTAGTACTTCTCCATGAGCGAATTTGCCTCTTGGGTAGATGGCCATACCACAACCTGATCTACTTCACGATCAAGCACCACGAGACAAGCTCTCACATCGCAAAGATTTGAGAGCTCATTCGTTTTCTTGATGAGTTCGGCAAGCCTTGCCTTAATGTTGGCTCTCTTCACTCTCTGGTTGGCCCAATCCAAGGTCACTCTTCTCCTCCCCATTTTTTTTCTTTTTTTTCTTTTTTTTTTCTTTTGTGTGTGTTTGTAAAAAGAGAATCCTTGTGATCATATATATAGGAAACACCAAGGATAAGATATAAGGAATGTAATAACGTCAAACTATCACCACATTGCAATATTTTGGTTATTTTGACTACTAATAATGTTGAATGGAATTTTAGGGAACTTTGTAAATAAAAAAGGGTTATTAAGTGTAGAAACCGCGTCTTTTTTTACCAAAAATAAAAGAAAGCGCGTCATGATAATACATCTAAATATTCTTTGTTTCCTCCTCTGATAATACATCTGAACCAACAAAAAAAGATGGTTAAGAACTAATAAGAGTAAATGCAACTGCAAAATGCATAATTTTATCCAAAAACATGACAAAATAATTAAAAGATAACTAAACCATCATCACCTCATCGGATAACACATAGGCATGACCACAACCGAACCTTAACTGTATTTCTAAGCGCAACCAAACTATAACCGTTGACCGTATAAATAAATCACTTACGATTGGTAACCGTAACCGTTATTAACCGTAGCCGTATCAAAATCGTTGGTTGACCGTACGGTTAACCGCATAATTTACCGTATGGTTAAAATATTAAAATAAATTATTTCATTAAAATATTAATTTAAATGGCTTAATATATCAACAAGTAAATCAAATCCACTCTATTACTCATTTTCGTTAATCAAATATAAAATAGATAATTAAACTTAATTATTTGTGGTTTTATGACCATTAATTTAATAATCTGTAATTTTGTTTAATTAAATAAAATTCATTGATTTAACTTATTTACTGTAATATATTTGAGCTATATAATTAAATAAATAATTATTATTTGAATATCGTCATTTAAAGTAAGAAAATATAAAATTTCATTTATGATGTTAACTATATTATTATTAACATCAAATAACCGTAACCGTATTTAACTGTAACTGTAACCGTATATAACCGTAACTGCCTTAACATGTATATATAATAGTTAAGATTATGATTAAAAAAATTATAACCGTTAATCGGTGGTTAATAAACCGTAACCGCATTAACCGTAACCGTAGTCATGCCTAATAACATAATCAATGTAGCCTAAAGATTACTAACCAATATTTAAAAGGTACGTGGATCATATAATTCTCTTCCGTAACATATTTATAACATACATTATCGGATTTCATGAAAAACTTATTTTGGAACATCCATAATATACAGGTTCCACATACTTTATATATTGATATATATACACAAACACATTAGCTTTCACCAAAGGAGTTTTTACTTTTTTGTTTTTATCAATCTATAATATATTTTATAATTTTGAAAAAGAAGATATTAGATAACTACCAAGTCAAACTCATGTATCGAAGCTATCTATCTTAACATTTTTGAAGTATATTTTGTACTAAAATCTATTTTGGCTTATAACTTTTTATTTTGTAATATTTTGGGTAAATCCTAGTATATGTGTATTTTTTCCCAATATATTGAATAATGGACCTAGTGAACACCAATCATCATACCAAAAAGAAGTTGATAGACCAGACCCAACCTCCATCCGATGGAATTCTCTAGCCTTGTTTCTATATTTCAGTATTTTCTTCCACATCCAAGACCCTAAACTCGTAGAGTCCTTTACTGACCACAGATTTTCTTTTCGGAGCAGATTCTTAGAGATCCATTGAACCCACAGAGAATTCTTAGCAGAAACACATTAGCTTTCACCAAAAGAGTTTTTACTTTTTTGTTTTTATCAATCTATAAAATATTTTATAATTTTGAAAAAGAAGATATTAGATAACTACCAAGTCAAACTCATGTATCGAAGCTATATATGTGTATTTTTTCTAACACTAAAACACTAACAATTTTTCTAACACTAAAACACTAACAAGCACACACAAACGTCAATACAATCCATAACAATACCATATCTAGTAATCACTTACATGAAATTTACAATCACATAAAATTAAGCACTAACAAATAACAAGCACAAACAAAACGCGTGGTATCATACCATACATAAAATTCATAAAAATCTATAACAGTTAAAATTGACACGTGTGAGTTATTAACTTTGAAAATCAACCTTCATATATTACGATACCCACCACGCCAGCAGTAACGTACGTAAGTGTGGCCAATGACTCAGTTTTATTTTGTCACACGTACGACTCGCAAATAATTAGGGTTTTTGTAGTGATATAAAAGATTACTAATGGACTTGGCCATACTTCTCAGGCAACATTTTTTTTGGTAGCAAAGTTTCCTTTATGGCGGCTCGTTAGAGGAATCTTCATTTTCTTCGTTTCCCTCTTCATCGTCGTCTATCACTATGCTCGGGAATAATGGAAGGTTTCCCTTTTTTCAATGTAATAAATTTTTCGAACCGGATACACGAATTAGAGAGTTCATGTCTTTTCTGTTTTTTTTTTTTTCTAGGGTTCTGTAATTTGTAACAGTTTAGGGTATGTGAGTCGAATTTATATTTGGACATTGTCAGATCTAATAGGACCGATCGACCTGACGTGTTCTAGGGTTCTTAATTAGTTTTGCAATAATCAAAGAGTATATATATATATATATATATATCGAATTATGACTAGAATGTTTTAAGATTGTAAAGATTAATTGATGTAATCTCTAATCTCTTATGTATTTTTGGGTTCACATTGTGTGGACATTTAGTAGGACCTGAAATTCTAAATGACTATAGTTAATATCTAATATGTAATGATTTTCTTTTGAACCTGTGGCAATAGAATCCTCCCAAAACTTCAAAGCTTTCAGATTTACATGTTTGTATATTGTAATTTGCATTTGATTACTTTATCAAAAAACAAATTTGCATTTGATAACTTATGAGTTATGACTCTTAAAAAACACCCAATGGTCTTCCATTTTGTTGATTAAATACTCTTTCACAGGTCAAGCGGAGTTGTGAAAGGATTTGGTTTCCTTGAGAGCAAGAATCAAAGCAAGGAAGCAGCAAAGCCAGGTTTTGCTGACCTGACATTATGTCTCTTGGAAGTAATAATATCTAAACTCGACTTAAAAGATAACATTCGGGCATCTGCTGTATGCAAAACATGGCGTGAAGCTGGTGTATATGTCCGGAAGGTAGACAAGCCTCCTTGGCTTATGTACATACCTAAACGTGGTAACTTGTTTGAACTCTACGATCCATTGTAGCAGAAGTTGTACACACTGGATCTACCCCAGCTAGCTAAATCCACGGTGTGTTACTCAAGAGACAGATGGTTACTAATGCGCAAAAACATTTCAAAAGAAATGTTCTTCTTCAACCCGTTTACTCGTAAGCTCATAAACTTACCAAAATGTACATTATCCTATGATGCATTCGCTTTCTCTTGCGCACCTACATGAGGTACTTGCCTGTTGCTAGCGTTTAAGCATGTTGGGTATGGTAGGACGAGGACAAGCACTTGCCATCTTCAATCACCCGAATGGGTTACTGAGGACTTACAATTCCATCTTCAATTTGGCTGTGATACACTTAAGCACAGCAATGTTGTCTATGCCAAACGTCGCTTCTATTGCCTTGATGGTAAAGGATACTTGTATTACTTTGAACCTTCTTCTCGAGTATGGCGTTTTAGTTATACGAATTCACTGGAATGCCCCTACTTAAGTAGATATAACTACAAGTATGAGCGGAAGAAGAAGAGAATTTTCTTGGCCGTGAGGAAAGGTGTGTTCTTCAAGATGTTTACATGCGGTGGTGAGAAGCCGATTGTGCATAAATTAGAAGATTACTATTGGGAGGAGATCAATAGTACTAAACTTGATGGATTGACAATATTTACGAGTCTTTATTCCTCTGAGACAAGACTTAATCTCCCATGGATGAGGAACAGTGTTTACTTTCCAAGGCTTCGTTTTAATGTCAAGCGTTGTGACCCGTATTCGTTTGACGAAGAGAGGTATTATCCTCGTAAGCAGTGGCAAGAACAGGAGGATTTATGTTAATTTGTTAATTTGTAATGTTTTAAACTTGTTAGTTCTTAATATGTTAATTTGTAAGCTTACGAGGATAATACCTCTATGTTAATATGTAATGTTCTAAACTTGTTAGTTCTTAATTATAATCCTGAGTTGAGAACTCATAGCTCCATGGCCGATGAACAATATTTAATCCTTAACATTAGGCTAAGTAATTGAAATAGCTGGTGATGATGACACAGTAATTCACTAGCACAAACCAATATATTTGTCAACGTTAAATAATTGATAATGTACATAATGTATAAAACAAGAAGAAAAAGTATTTGTATATAATTATGAAAAATAGAAGACCATATATGAAAATTAGTTTTTCTACTAAAATTGTGTGTGAAATAAAACACAGAGATAAGATTTTGTTTCCAAGTTTATTTATGTCATAATTACATTTTTATTTCACTTTTTGTGTTTTTTTTTTAATGAGTGTTTATTACACATTTTGCTTTTATTACACTTTTTTTTTTTGTTGCTTTCTCTCTTTGTAACTGATTTTCATTAATTAAGAAAGAAATCTAAAAAATCCATATGGCAAATATTTACTGGCTACGTAACTTGTGATTTGGAGGATTAAGGATAAACAAGATAAGATTATAAATCTTTACCAAAAAAAAAAACAAGATTATAAATTGACAAAGACCTCTAATCACTTCTTAAAACATCCCCAAATCCAAAACGACAACAAACCCTAAAAACGCTCTTGAGGATGTTGCCAGTGTCGTTGTCCCGTCAAAGTCCACCGCCGTCTCCGAAGATGGCGTCACCTTCTTCACCGTCTCCGAAGATGGCGTCACCTTCTTCGGAGAAGAGTGTTAGTTTTGTTTTTGTTGTTGTTTATTTTTGTGTTAGTTAGCAGATCAGTTCTTTATATATTGAGAAGAGTTTAAAAGTCCTAACTGAAAATTCATTAATTGTTTTGTAGAGCCACGGATCTTGTGATCTCCGATCAGCCTGTCTCCGATCCAAGTTTCGCTGAGCTGCCAACAGACGTCCTTGGTATCATAATGTCTTCTCTTTTCTTAAAAGACAACATCCGTGCATCCGCGGTTTGCAAATCATGGTGTGGAGCCGCGGTATCGGTCCGGGTAGTGGAAAAGTACCCATTGCTTATGTACTTTCCTAAACATGGCAACTTGTTTGAACTCCGTGATCCATTACAGCGGACGATGTACACTTTGGATCTGCCAGAGTTAGCTAGATCCACTGTGTGTTACGCCAAAGATGGCTGGCTACTTATGGGTAAACAAGGATTGAAAGACATGTTCTTCTTCAATCCGTTTACTCGGGAGCTGGTTACTTTGCCGCAGTTTCGTTGGCCTTATGATGCCGTAGCCTTCTCTTGTCCTCCAACGTCAACTAATTGTGTGGTGCTAGCGCTAAGCTTTTCACATGAGCATGTCAGTGTCAGCACTTGCCATCCTGGTGCAACTGAGTGGACTAGTGAATCCTTCCCTAGTTTTCTAAGACGGTTTCATAACCAGAGCAACCTTGTGTATCGGGAAGATCGATTCTATACCTTCAACGCAAACGGAACTTTGTTTAGCTTTCATCCATCTTCCCGAACATGGAATCATAGATGTGCAGATACACTGGTATGCCCTTATATCTATGATAGAGAGAAATATGGTTGGAATGAAAAATCAGTTGCCTTGATAGAGAAGAAAGGAGATCTTTTTGTCATGTTTACAAGCGGCAGCGAGAAGCCATTGGTGTACAAATTGATATCTAAGAAGTGGGAGGAGATAAGTAGGACTCGACTTGATGGCATGACAATCTTTGTCAGTTATTACAACGCTGAGCTGAGAACTAACCTCCGTCATGCATGGATGAGGAACAATGTCTATTTTTCAAGGTATGATTACAATCACCAACGTTGTGTAACCTACTCGTATGATGAGAGCAGGTACAGTTCGAGCAATGAATGGCAGAGGTGGAGAGAGCTATGTCCTCGTCATACCCTATGGATCGATCAGCCTCCAGAGGATGTGTGATCTTTTCTGAAACTTTCTGCATAGCAATTGAGAAGGTTTTTTTTTTTTTTTATGGTGTTAGTGTGTAACTTGTCATTTGGGAGTTCACACTGTTGTAATAAAGAACCGTTTCGGCTTTCGTTTATGGTCTTAGTGTTTTTTGTTTTCTAAAATTAACATTGAACCATTCAGCGTAATATTGCAAGCCATAAACTTGTATAAATGGAATTTATTTGGCCCTTTGATTGAATGGGAAAAATTTACTGCACTTATACAGTATAAAACAAAATAGTTTATTAATCAGAACTTCAGAAGTAAAAAGAATTAATCATTGTGTAACATAAGTGAAATTACTTATATTGAGAAGTAATATGAGTACATGAGAACGCAAAGAAGGAAGTCTTAGCTCGTGTAAACCACACGTGATGACTTTTTCTCTCCGAATAGCCAAAGCTTTTTCTCGCCTCTCATTTTGTTTACCTCTCCTATGTCCAGTGCTGCGAGAAGGCTACCACTTAATAAAGGCTCGTTGCTGCTATGCTTCTCGGCTTGCAACTCCTCGCGGGGGTGGTGGCTTCAAATCGGGTTTTTCTATTGTCTATGGCAGTGAATACTTAATCAAGCACACCAAAGTTCTTTAAGCCAAATGTCGCGTTTATTGCCTTTATGGTGTTATACGAGTTCTTTTCGAGAATGAGCAAAACCATGTCCGGTGCTGATAGATTTATTTATAGCAATGTTGTCTATGCCAAACGTCGCTTCTATTGCCTTAAGATGGTAACAAATTCTTATATTACTTTGAACCTTCTTTTCAGAGTATGACGTAATTATAGTCATACGAGTTCTCTGCACTGTCCCTATTTTGATGGATATAGCTACCACCCCGGCTCATAATAAATCTGGTCCCTTGGGCAATATTTTTTTTTTTTTGACATTTGTTCAGTAAACAAAAATAATTGACATTTTTTGAATTTTATCTTAAATTTTGGGCCATTTTTAGTAAAATGAAAATCCATTATAACACTTTTTAAATTATATGGGCCTTGTTAAAATAAAATATGTAGCATTTGGAAAATTTTGGCCTTTTTACTTAGAATTTCGGACCCATTTACATATTTTTAAAGACCATTTTCTTATGTGATTTTTTCAAAAATTCATGGCCCCCTTGCCCGTAACCCCTCTACCCACCCTATTTGAGTCGGGGCTGCCTACCAGTATGAGCAGAAGAAGAAGAGTATATCTTCTTGGCTTTGAGGAAATTAAGGTGTGTTCTTCAAGATGTTTTACATGCGGTGGTGAGATGTCGACATGCCCGGTTCAACAGGGGTGGGCAGAGGGGCAGTGGCCCATGGGCCCGAGTACTTTAAAAAAAAATTCTAAGATTAAAGGGCCCATTTTTGTTGTAAAATAGTAAAATAGGGGACCAAAATAATATTAGATCCATATAATATGATCCATTTTCGTTTTTTCCTTTTGTGAAAGAGCCTCTTTATGTATAAAAATATCTTTAAAACATGTTTTATGGGCCCAAAAAAATTGAATCTCTTTAGTATAAATTAGATAAAAGACCAAAAAAAAAATTTATGCCAAATTGTTGAGCCGGGGCTGGATGTCGATAGTGCATTAGAAGATTACTATTGGGAGGAGATCAGTAGTACTACAATTGATGGAATGACAATATTTCCGAGTCTTTATTTTCATCTGAGATGAGACTTACTTTCCAAGGCTTCGTTTACTTTCCAAGGCTTCGTTTTAATGTCAAGCGTTTCGTATCATATTTGTTTGATGAAGAGAGCGAGGTATTAATAATGCGCTTAAGCAGTGGCAAGAACAGGAGGATTTATGTCCTCTTGAGAATCTTTGGATTAGGCCACCGAAGAAGAAAGCTTTAGACTACATGTGATGTGACGATGTGAAGATAGCTTTTAGAACACCTCTGGTTATGGTGGAAGAGTTAGATCATCTCATTTATCTTAGAACATGTCGGACAACTCTTTGGGGTTAAAAGGACATGCTCTTCTTCTCATGTTTGAGATTTCTTTTCGAGAGATTGCAGTATGTTATCCTCCTATATTGAATAATTGTGTCGTGCATGGTAGTTTAAAATTTGGTCACTGAGCTGTATGAGCTGCTCTACGGAGCTCGGTTGTTCCCCATGTCTACGCTTATTCCTTTCGATCCACAAAGTATGGACTGTAGCTTGGAAGACAAGCCTTAAGATGAAATGGGCAGACCCTTTGAAAGTTGTATAGTAGAGAGGAGATTGATGACCTGTGTAAAACAAATTGAAAATGAGTGCGGAGAAGTTTACGAGTGAGCACCCGGCCCCCAGATTCGAGAAGAGTAAGAGCAGTTCAAGAAAAGGTGATCGATCGTCTCCCATGGGGCTTGGCAGAACACACACGAGGGGTTCCATGTAATCATGCGAGCACCCGTTATAATTCTGTTGTTTGCGACCAGCCAAAGCATAAACGAGTACTTTGGTATCAAAGCTTCCCTAATGCTTTTGATCAACGCAATAAGCATATCAAGCTTTTATATGTTAATAATGGTTTCTATTACTTGATAGAGAAGAAAGGGAAACTCTTTAATTTGTACTGTTTACATACATCAACGAGAAGACAAAATTTTCTATAAAGAAGCCAAAATCTTCTAGACCTGATGGTTTGCAATCTTTGTTAGTTATAATTCTGACTCTTCTCCATGGCCGATGAACATTGTTTAATCCTTAACATTATGCTCTAACTGAAGTAGCTGATTGATGACACAGTAATTCACTAGCACAAACCACTAGATATGTCAATAATTGACAGTACATAATATAATACAACAAGTATTTGTAAATACTTATGAAAGTAGAAAACAAAATATATGGAAAATTATTTTTTCTATTATAATTGTGTGTGAAATAAAACACAGAGAGCCTGACGACGACCAAATTTGTTTCCAAGTTTATTTATTTCATAATTAAGTTCTATTACATTTTTTGTGTTTTGTTTTAATGAGTTTTTAACACACAGTTTGTTTTTATTACACTCTTTTTTTATCACACTTTCTGTCTTTTTGACTGATTTTTTATTAATTAAGATAGATATTTTTTTTTGAACAAAATTAAGAAAGATATCTATAAAATCCATGTGGCAAATATTTACTGCCTAATTGTGATTTCTAAGATTAAAGATAAACAAGATAAGATTATAAATTAACGAAGACCTCTAATCACTTCTTAGTCATTTCTTAGACATCCCCAAATCCAAAACGACAACAAAACCCTAAAAAAGCTCTTGAGGATGCTGCCAGTGTCGTTGTCCCGTCAAAGTCCACCGCCGTCTCCGAAGATGGCGTCACCTTCTTCGCCGTCTCCGAAGATGGCCTCACCTTCTTCGCCGTCTCCGAAGATGGCGTCACCTTCTTCGCTGTCTCCTACCACCGTCTCACGTATAGGGTTCGTCATTCTCTTAAACATTTTATTACAAATCACAATATTTGACAAGTTCCATGGTGTTTGGTTCTCTTATTGACTCTGAAGTGAATCTAGTGTAACGTTTCTATGATATTTATAGATGGGAATTGACTTAAATACATTTCAGGGTTCTTAATACATTTCCCATGTAAAGAGTTTTGTTTCTGTTGTTGTTTATTTTTGTGTTAGTAATTAGCAGATCAGTTCTTTATATATTGAGAAGCGTTTAAAAGTCCTAACTGAAAATTCATTGATTGTTTTGTAGAGCCCAGGATCCTGTGATCTCCGATCAGCCTGTCTCCGATCCAAGTTTCGCTGAGCTGCCAACAGACGTCCTTGGTCTCATAATGTCTTCTCTTGTCTTGAAAGACAACATCCGTGCATCCGCGGTTTGCAAATCATGGTGTGGAGCGGCGGTATCGGTCCGGGTAGTGGAAAAGTACCCATTGCTTATGTACTTTCCTAAACGTGGCAACTTGTTTGAACTCCGGGATCCGTTACAGCAGAAGACGTACACTTTGGATCTGCCAGAGTTAGCTAGATCCACTGTGTGTTACGCCAAAGATGGCTGGCCACTTATGCTTAAACAGGGATGGAGACTCTTTATGCGGCTGTTCTTCTTCAACCCGTTTACCCGGGAGATGGTAACATTGCCAAACATTTATGAGGCTTTTGATAAGGTAGCATTCTCTTGTCCTCCAACATCAGACAAATGTGTGTTGGTAGCGCTAAACTTTCTCCATGGGCATGTCAAGGTCAGCACTTGCCATCCTGGTGCAACTGAGTGGACTACTGAATCCTTCCCTAGTTTTCTAAGACTGTTTCGTAACCAGAGCAACCTTGTGTATCGAGAAGATCGATTCTATACCTTCAACGCAAAGGGAACTTTGTATAGCTTTCATCCATCTTCCCGAACATGGAATCATAGATGTGCAGATAGACTGGTATGCCCTTATATCTACGATAGAGAGAAATATGGTTGGAATGAAAAATCAGTTGCTTTGATAGAGAAGAAAGGAGAACTCTGTCATGTTTACAAGCGGCAAGGAGAAGCCATTGGTGTACAAATTGATCTCTATGAGGTGGGAGGAGATAAGTAGGACTCATCTTGATGGCATGACAATCTTTGTCAGTTATTACAACGCTGAGCTGAGAACTAATCTTCTTCATGCATGGATGAGGAACAATGTCTACTTTTCAAGGTATAATAAAAATCGCCAACGTTGTGTAACCTACTCGTATGATGAGAGAAGTTACAATCCGAGCAATGAATGGCAGAGGTGGAGAGAGCTATGTCCTCAGAAAACCATATGGATCGATCAGCCTCCAGAGAATGTGTGACCAATTTATAAGGTTTATGTTTTTTTTTATGGTGTTAGTGTGTAACTTGGCATTTGGGAGTTCACACTGTTGTAATAAAGAACCGTTTCAGCTTTTCTTAATGTCTTTTGTTTTGTAAAATTAAGATTGAACCTTTTTTTATTCTCCATTTGCTATTGTTGAGAGTTGAGAGACACAAATGTTTATATTCTCGTTCCGACATTCAAAGTAATATTGCAAGCCATAGACTTGTATGAAGGTCTCATTAGATGTCCCAAAAATGGAATTTATCTCACGTTTTGATTTATTGGGTCATTAGCTTTTAAACTCGATAACTTTTGGGAAAAGACTTAACAGGTTATTTAATTTACTAAGGCAAAACGTTATTAATATGTATTAATTGATATTTCCTCTTTTTCGTTTTAGAGTTAAAATTGTTGTTTTATATTACTTGTTGTTTTGTTTTTATAAAGTATATTTCTGATTTTTAGAATTTAAAAATTGCTGCACTTATACACAGTATCAAACACAAAACTATAGTTTATTAATCAGAAGTAAATAAAAAAAAATCACATATGTGAATTTTTTTTTATATATAATAATAATATAAATATCATTAATCAAAATGAAAGAGTAGGATATACAAGAGACAGCCTAAAGATTGAAACCTTGCCAAAAAAAAAAAAAAAGGAAGAAAACAAGGCAACAAAAACTGGGACAACGAGATGATAAATCATCTTAGCAAAAGTGACATTAAAGTGGTGAAACGCCTTCTCCGCCTTCTTCTCGTGATCAATGAGTTTGAAAACTGTGAGAAGACTGTTGCCTGGGATGCAAGTTTGTGATAGCAAACTCAAAAAGATGCTCTTAAAGAGCTTATTAAGCTAGAAATATAAAACTGAAATTAGATAGCTCATTGAGCTTTATTGTGTGCAAGTAAATACAAAGAAAGGAGAGAGCTTTAATTTGCATTGTCACCAAGATTAGTAAGACTTTGATTCAATCATTAAAATGGTGAAGAAGGAGAGTTGCCTCTTCGACGACTCTCAAGGTTAAAGACAATGATGTTCACTACACACTTTATATAGTAATCTATCTTGCTAGAGAACCCTAGTTACATGGCCTTGTTTGTCTCATAGTATTGGGCTTGTTGGCACTTCAAAGCCTTGTGTTAAGGATGTTCTAATGGTTTCCTCAACGTAATCGCATGTTACCAACAGATGATCTCGATGAGTAGCACAAAAGCAACAGAGAGGAGATACATTTAAACCCCAAGAAACTAACCTCTGTCTTGTTGGTAACCTGTTCTGACGAGAGACTCACATCTTAAAGGCATGCTTAGGGACAGTTCCCTTAAACCAAACCGTCTTAGTCCACGGTTTGGCATCACTCCTAGCTTGGCCTTAAAATCTCCCATGCATGTTCTTGAGGAGGAGTAACCATGACATTAAGGAATACCATTTATAGCGTTAGTCCAGTAGTATATGTCAGTTGTAGATGAAAGACTTTTGGTAGAGAGAGGGATCGTCATTAAGTGGGATTAAAGAGAGACTTCAGGATCAGATCTTCCACTGGTTGCACTCGCCACTGTACTGTTGATTTGGAGTCTTAGTTTCCTTGGCCCATCCAATCTGATCAATTTGAAGTAATATGAGAACGCAAAGAAAGAAGTCTTAGCTCGTGCAAACCACATGCATGCACGTTATGACTTTTGTTTACCTCTCATGTGCCCGTTGCTGCTATGTTTCTTGGCTTGCAACTCGTCGGGGGTCTTGGCTTCAAATCGGGTTGTTCTATTGTCTATGGCAGAGTTTTTTTCAATGAGTTTTTAATTTCACATTTTTTATTTTATTACACTCTCTTTTTTTGTTGCTTTGATCTGTCTTTTTGACTGATTTTTATTATTTAAGGAAGATATTTTTTTTTAACAAAATTAAGAAAGATATCTATAAAATCCATGTGGCAAATATTTACTGCCTAATTGACTAGTGATTTGGAAGATAAAGGATACACAAGATAAGATGAGAGAACGTTGTGTATTTACTGACTAGTGACTAGTGATTACAATCGCCAACGTTGTGTATCCTACTCGTATGATGAGAAAAGGTACATTTAGAATTATGTCCTCGTCATACCCTATGGATCGATCAGCCTTTAGAGAATGTGTGACCTTTTTTGAAAGCTTTCTGCATAGAAATTGAGAAAGTTTATTTTTTTATGGTGTTTGTGTGTAACTGGGCATTTGGAGTTCTCACTGTTGTAATAATGTTTACAAGAAACCGTTTCGGCTTTTGTTAATGTCTTATTTTTCTTAAGTTAACATTGAACCAGTTTTTATTCTCCCTTTGCGATTGTTGAGACACACAAATGTTTATATTCTCGTTCGGACATTCAAAGTAACATTGCAAGCCATAGACTTGTATATATCAGCTTTGCAGGTCTTATTAGATGTCCCATACATAAATGGAATTTTTAATTTACGTTAGTTTACATGGGTCATTAATTAGTTAGCTTTTAAAGTCAATTACTTTGAAGGAAAAACTAAACAGGTCATTTAAACAGGTTACTAATAAGTTCCCTAATCATGTAAGATTCTTTTATAAGAAGAGCAACCTTGTCTCTAAGGCCAATATCGATTTTACTACTTCAGTTCAGATGGAACTCTAGATTTTGAGAAAGATTATGAATTCAAGAATTTAAAGAATAACTCTCTTTATTTGCTTAAGAAAATAACTCAAAACTTAAGCTTTCTAAAACCCTTAATCTCTCTCTAATCTCTTAAGGTTACCACAACTTTGATAACTCATATATATAGAGAAGAGATAATCCTTATTCTAATAGGAATTGTATCTAGATAACTCCTAAACACAATCTAATCCCTAAGTCATAACTCAACTAGGAATAAGTAGCTTGTCTCCTAAGTCTTCTTCTTCAAGCTTATCCCAACAATCTCCCCCTTAAGCTTGAAATCTTTCTTTGACAAGCTATGGACTCCAATGAGATCTCTCATTACCTTGAACTTGTTCTTCTCAAGTGCTTTAGTTAAGATGTCTGCTCTTTGTTCCACTCCCGGAACATGTATCACCTCCACTTGTTCATTTTCAACGCATTCACGTATAAAATGATACCTTCGATGAATATGCTTGCTACGCCCATGAAACACTGGATTTTTAGTAAGTGCAATAGCGGATTTGTTGTCAACTTGAATTGTCACCTTCTCACATTCTTTATCAATGATTTCAGCGAAGAGATCCTTTAACCAAATGGCTTGCTTAGCAGCTTCTGTAGCAGCCATGAATTCTGCTTCACAAGAGGAAAGTGCCACGACCTGCTGTTTGTGAGAATTCCAAGTAATCGGACACTCATTGAAATAGAAAACATGACCAGCTGTACTTCTTCCATCATCCACATCCACACTATGACTGCTATCACTGTACCCTACTAATCCAGATTGATCTCCACGACGAAAACAGAG